AAAAGCTCATGATATCTTCCTTGACAATGATAACATCACATTGTTCATAAGAGTTAATGGATTTTTTCCATAATCATTTTGTTGTGAATACTTCATTGTACATCTTTTTATTGTAAAGTACTTTTATTTGCACATAATTTAATGCTCACATTCAATGAAATTCTTGATAAAAGTAATGAAAGAGAGAATAACATTATTATCTTTTGCTCAAGATGATCTGTCAGCGAAACACTCACTTCTTATTGTAGATGATGTCTTCATATCACAATAAATTAAAATGGTGAAAAAAACAATGCTGAAAATTGAAATGTACTCATGATCAAATTAAAAATTTATTTAATTGCTGATATTCAAATAGGAGATTTGCAAATATTTATTCTTGTAATGCATTTTACGGGCACCTTTGACAACACCCATAATGACCTTCTGGACCCTTTCCTAAAGATTGCGCGTAAATGACGGGCCGAACTCTTGGCAGGACTAAAACAGTCATTCTTTCAAAAAGATCGCAGAGGCCAAAGGTTAAAGTAAAAAGGCTTTGAAAGAATCAAACGCTGTGATTTTGTCTCGCTTGATTATCGAATCGAAAAAAACTTGTCTTTGCTGTGCCCCGGCCAGCATTTCAGCAGCCACGGGTAAGCCTGGCTCACCTTACGAGACAGGGGCGTCTACTGCGTCCGAGCGGGGTTGTTACTGAGGGTGATAAGCCAAAGGCTTACGCTCTCGGTACGAGGAATTATTCCAAAGACAGCTTTCAGCCTCCGTTAACTGAAGGCGTCCATACGAATGAAGGTACTGGAACGAATTCGAGCTCCTAACAGGGCTTCGAAACAGATGGAAGGTGAAAACGGGAAAATATGAAGACATCTTTTCGCTTATCGCGAGGGAAGATAATCTAATCCTGGCATGGAACAGCATAAGAAGCAAGCCAGGTAACTTAACCCCCGGGACAACTCCCGAAACTCTAGATGGTATCGACACCAAGTGATTCCAAGACACTAGTTCGAAACTAAAGAGCGGGACTTACAGGTATACCACTTGCAACTTTGTGTCAACATGCTGAAAAATAAAGCTTTTTGCAAGACTTTTTGAAGTTTTGATCGTTGGTGGTGCAAACTGATTTTACATGTATTTCTTCACCTATTTGACATAAAAACATAAAATTTTTAATCAAATTTTTTTAACTTTAACTTACTTTTTCAAAATTTTACGTTAAACTGATAATTTAGCAAAAAGATATCATTTTTTATTTAAAAAAGTTTAGACACAAAAAGTGATATATCTGTTAAATTTAATATTTATGCACTATTTTGAATTTTAAGGATATACAATTTTTGAAATCCCTATTAAAAATTATTTTCATGAACAAAAAATTATGCACATTTTTTTTTAATTTTCAGATTTTTTTAAAAATTTTCATCTCCAGCTATTTAAATTATCATCAATCACATTTAAGTCATATATATATATATATATATATATATATATATATATATATATATATATATATATATCAGTATTTTTGTAAAGAGATTTTCAAAAATTTCAATTTTATTTTAAACATACTCTTGTTTGAAAGTTGAATTTTATTAATGCTACTGGTTTCTTGAAATAATAGTTATTTTACGTGTGAAAAAAGTAGATTTCATGAAATTTGAATTTGAAAAATGCAATTATAATTAAAATATGATTTACAGTAATTATCATATATTATACACCAAAATTTGTAATAGTATTAATATTTTTTTATCATACTGATTTTGAATTTAGTTAATTTTCATATTTTTATATTAACAGGAATGATTCTATCTATTTTTTAATTCTTCATTGATTTTACTATTGCATGGAGTTTAATATCAATTCTTTTCTAAAACCCTTCTAAATATTCAATATTAAGTATGTATTAATCAATCATAGATAGAAATAATAAAGACCTTATTCATTGTAAATCTTAATGAGAAAATAAAAAATGTTAATGGCTAACATTTTTTATTATGGCTAAGATTTATCTAAGATGCTTTTGTGAGGATAACAGTAGTGACCAAAAAGATGGGTTACGGGAATGGATGCGTTCAAGGTTGCCATAAATAGAAAGCAAATACCTTTGTGTAAGTATCATCATGATAAATTGCACAAGAGGGAATTGAAGTTCGGGGGATTGGATTGGGAGTAGGACCGATAAAATTCCAAGTGTATATGTCCAATCGAGAGTAGGTTCTTGGAGAGCCGTGTGATGGAAGACTATCAAGCACGGTTCCACGAGAAGGGCTAATCCTTTACTCGACAGATATAGGGACTCTATATTTAATTTTCGGTGCCATTGCTGGAGTAATGGGTATGGCTAAGATTTATTATGCTAAAAAAAATCTCAATAACCAATGAAAGTTTTCAACAATCAATTTGTAATATTTCTGTTATGTTTTCAAATTTTAAAATATCTTTCTATCAATTATGCCAAAAGTTAATTATTAAAACTTTAGCGTTATTCTTCTCAAAATATACTTGTATTATAATGAATAAACATCAATATCACAATACATAAGATCAAAACATAAATCATTTTTACATCAAACATCACAATACGTATATGAATCTTTTTTACTAAAATGTATCTTTTATGCTTTCCAAAAGAAATAAAATACCTTACACATAGTAATGCAACATCAAAGAACTATTTTGTTATGATTTTGCACTATCTTTTCTTCCATACGTTTAAAGTCAAATATTAGTGTTGATCATTTGATAGTCTTGGATAACTGAAAGTTTAGATGTTATTGTTTACAAAAATTTTTAAAAAAATGATTTAAATTGTTTTAAAAAAATGATTGCAATTATATTGACTTTACTTGATATAAACTAAGTTATAAAATAACAAAAAACTTTAAGGAAAAAAACAACAAATTTTATTTGATATAAATGAGCTGGTAGAAATTATTAGATGATTATCAAAATTAATTTAAAAGGTTTTTTTTTATCAAAGTCTTTCAAATGTATTTTTGCATAGTAAGCAAATATACAACTAGATACATTATCATATGATATGATGTTATTCATAAATTGATTAATTAAAAATCTTCTTGTATGAGGTCATGATATAAAAATTTTAAATAAATTTTATTTTTATAAAAAAAATTAGAAAAAGTTAAAAAAATCATTAAATACATTATCATGTGATATAAAATTATGAAAAAATTATTTAATTAACTCAATAAAATGTCATGATTCAAACATTATAGATAAATATAAATTATAAAAAATAGATCATTAATTATAGAAATTTTGGATCAAACAAATTATTTAATTAAATTTTATATATTAAGAATTTACAATTGAAATATCATAAAGTTATTGACATTTCAATTTTTGAAAAATGATCTCTCAATAAATCTTTATAATTTTTATAATTTTTAATTTTTGATATATCAAAAATAAAAATATTTTATGCTTGTCAAATGTGTCTTTGGGAATTTGATGCATCAATCTTGTGCTTGTGCATATTTGAATGTGGTCTAAGCAAGATTATCTTTCTAGTGTGACTAATGCATCAATCTATTATCATCTAATAATGTTGCTCCATATAACAACGTACACAAGATTGTGGGTTTGTCGTCATCAATTTTGTATACAGTACAGACTGCAATATTATATTTCTTGGAAATGTGTTTTAATCAATTGAAAAATCATCTAATTGTGCGCACCCGTCGTCTCAAGAAATAACTGATATTTTCTTACAACGTTCATCAAAATCAACATAATTAACAAAGATAGTATATACTAGCTTTTGAATGGTCTTTGGTGATTTGAAATTTGAACGGTACGGTTATGTTTCCAACTTAAAAATACTTCAATACTCCAGTTTATAAATTTATCATATAGATTGTAAATTTTTTAATTGATAATATAACAATTTAGCTTATTATTTATTATTTATATATATATAATTCTTATATGATATTTTACTAAATTATATACAAAATTTATTTTATAAAACTAAAAGTTTCATTAATTGAATCTAGGTTATTTTGTTACATACAAAATTAAAGTAAAAAATTTTATATTGATACATAGTTATTGATAGTATGATAAAAAAAATATTTTATTAATAAGATTAAAAAACTTAAATATTTCATGATGCTTAGTTGGATGTAGATTGAATTTTGAATTGCTAAAGTAAATGAGGACAAATTAAGATGTTTAATATTATTATTGTAGATACACATTAATCAATTTGATCTCAATCAAGAAATGATAAGTAATTTTTTTAAATCGTTGAATCTTAATATTTTTAAAATATAAGACGTTTTTTGAAAATAGATGGTATAAAAAGACATTTTAACATTAAAAAAAAAATTTAATAAGTTTAATATATAAAAATGTAAGTTTTTCAAAGGTTAAAAATTACTAATATAAAAAAATATAATATAAATTATTTCTATATAATTGTAATGAAGATTTAAAGAATTATTTTTTTAATTAAAAATTCAAACTTTTATATTGCAGTTGAAGTTTAGAAAAAGTCAACTGTTTGAAACTCTATCACTAGCATTATTTAGTTTAGAAAAAAAATTATTGATGAAATAAAATTAAGCTTATAATTAAAAAAAATAAAAAAACTAAAAAATTGGTAAATTAAATATTTCAGCAAATCCAATATCCAAAATTTAAACTTCAAACAAAATATTATCTTCTTTAAAAATAACTATACATGCTCAATAATTCTTTTTAAGGTTAAAGGCTTGAAGAGATAGTGTAAAAAAAATTGGAAGACTCATTTTCTATTTCTGAGAGTTCACTACCGAATCCAGGCACCCATCAAGCAGAATTTCTCTGGACTCTCCCTTCGACAAATCCTCGTCTCGACAAGTGGTAAGTGGCAAAATCCGAGTACTGAATTCGGTTGTGGATCCCTTCGACAAATCCTCGTCTCGACAAGTGGCAAGTGGCAAAATCCGAGCTCTTCAATCATGCTGCTGCAATCCGAGCTCTTCAATCATGCTCATTCCAGCTGCCACCCGATCAAAAAATGAACGGGGGAACCCACCACTTTGAAAACGTCAATGAGGAATACCCCCGTTAGCTGACCACCCCACAGAAATTCGTTCGATGGATTCGTTCCCAGATTCGACCCTTGTTGACTTGCTGGGGAATGTGACAGATACCGATGTTGCCTTGCAACTGACTTGCTGGGGAATCTGACGGATACCCTTGTTGCTTGCAATTGACTCGTCCATCGATTTCTGACCAGACTTCATATCTTTGATCCGTAGGAGAATTTTGGCGTGTGTGACGTAGTTTCGGTAGGTAGGAGTCGGACTTACATGTCCAATCCAATAGGACAGCTTTCTCCATCAGGTAGTCTGTCAGCCATCTGAATCAAGAGAGTCTCGGTTCTGGATCAAGAGTATAAGAGGACATGGATCAAGTAGTATCTATGGTTCACTCCCCTCAGTTGGTTTCTGAGAGTATGAAGTGCTTCGCTTGGCGCCCGTGTGATTCCACTGCTTCACGGTTCTGAATCCTCCTGCGTTCGTCGTTCGGTCAGAGTGCGAAGATGTCGACGAAGATGTCGACTGCTGAGTTCGTCGTGGGATTCATAGGAGCCGTAGTTTCGATATTTTTGTTCTTGTCTCCTTTGTAAGTGGAGGAATTGAATTGCACGTGCATGCAACTCAAACTTAGTCTGAATTCGGAACTGTGGAAGACTTTGCTTAAAGCCCGTGTTTTCATTGAACTCTTTGCAGTCCCACGTTTAAGAAAATTATCAAGCTGCGTTCCACCAAGGAGTATTCGGCAGTCCCCTACGTTGCGACTCTGCTCAATTGTTCCCTCTGGTTGCTGTACGGATCTCCTTTTGTAAACAAGGGAGTCCTCGTCTTTACCATCAACGGGGCTGGCGCCTTCATCGAGCTTTTCTTCATCTGTATATACTTGGCTTATTCGAAGGATAGACGAACGAGGGTAGGATTTTGTGTTCCAACCGAGGCGGTCGTTCTGATTTTCTGCTTAGGTCGCTGAGGTAGTTAAGTCTAGAAATGACATGAAGCATGCGGCCTGACAAGCTTGTTTCGTGACATGCAGAGGAATGCAGTGCTCATGATAACGGCCATTGTTATTTTCTTCGTTGCGGTGTTGCTCATTAGCTTGCTGGGTATCCGTCGCCACAGTGAAAGACAAACCGTCGTTGGTATTCTGTGTGTGATCATTGGAACGTCTATGTACGTGTCCCCGTTGACAATCATGGTACGTAAGAACAGTAAGAAATTCTGAATCTTTGCCTCAAGATTTAACAAGTCATTTACGTACGAACTGGCTCTCCTGCTCCTCAAAATTTAAGCGGGCCATTTAGGTTCGAACTGACCATCCTGCTCAATTGCGCGCTGTGTTTCAGAAAACTGTCATTACAACCAAGTCAACGGAGTTCATGCCGTTAGCACTGTCAGTCTTTAACCTACTAAACGGTATAATATGGACCGCTTATGCGTTGATAGGCCACGACTTGTGCGAGTACATCACGGTACGAGTGATTCAACTTCAACCATTCCGAAATTCTGCTTGACGCTCATGCCCTATGTTCTCATGTCCTCGGCTTTACTCATCTTTGTCATGCATTTTTCGTGCAGATCCCAAACGCCCTAGGAGTATTTTTCGCTCTTTGCCAACTCACTCTGTACGGATGCTTCTGTGGAAACACCAGAAGAATGCCCACTGAGATTACTGAGAATGCGAAGGGAGTGTCTCCAGACGTGATGTCCGTGGGTACAGCTCAATTTCAATACCATGTAGAAGTTTAACAGTAGCTGGAACATTGGTCCCCGGGCACTGGTTGTAGAGCTCGTCTTGTTTTGTTCAGGCTTGTAAAATATCATCTCGTTTTCATCCCGCTTCTTCGATACTCACATACCGTGTCAGCTAATAAGGATTCAGTCTGCATGAATATGTGCCGAAATCATGTCGTATTTTGGTACGCGAAGAGCATTTCACTTTTCAACTAAGAGCCCGGTTTGAAAGCAATTACAAAAACTCGCAGTAGAACATCGGTGACAGTGGACTGAATTGCCGTCTAATAGGTCCCCATCAAGCAAATTTCTACTACTGTATTTCTATTTCTGAGAGTCCACTACCGAATTCAGTCCTCGGATTTTAGAAAACGGCACCGGGCCAAGACTCGCCACCTAAACAGACTCCGCAGCGCGCCGCGCGGGCGCTCTGCGGAGTGACGAGGGCTGCGGAGTCTGTCTGGAAAGCGGCACCGGGCCGTTAACATCACTCAGGGGTCACACACAGAGAGGGTCCAGACGGGCTGCGCCTTGGTATCGACGAGAGCCAGCCGCCACGTCCGCGCCGAGCTTCCGACACGTTGGCAGTCATTCCCAACCGTTTCCTTAAAGAAGATTCGGATGAGGCCTTTGCCCTCATCCGAATTCAGTCGGAGAGTACACTGCCGAATTCAGACGTGATGTCCGTGGGTACAGCTCAATTTCAAAACCATGTAGAAGTTTAATAGTAGCTGTAACATTGGTTCCCGGGTACTGGTTTTACAGCTCGTCTTGTTTTGTTCAGGCTTTTTAAATATCATCTCGTTTTCATCTCGCTTCTTCGATACCCACATACCGTGTCAGCTAATAACGATTCAGTCTGCATGAATCTGCAACAGTGACGTGAGACGTTAAGATTAGTTTGGTTAGGTATACTTTGCAGTGCGTTTCAATACCAAAGGTTTTCCTATGATGTTTGTTCATAACACAATTAATTTTACCTATGTTAGGTAACAATCTCATATCATCTAGAAGAGACGCCTATCCATAACTCATGTTTGATAAGATTTTTCGGTCTTCCCATACATGAAACATCTTGATTCAAAATATAATAAAATTGACTTCATCACATATGATAATGACGTTTAGTAGATATAGATTGGTGTGTTTATGACGTCTTAACATACTCTTATCATGTAATCTCATTTGAAGCTATTTCTTTTGAAGATCAATAACAAGATCATCAAACATATCTATGTGGACTTGAATTTTTGAGCTATAATAATTCATCTTGAAATTCATCAACTTCAAGAAGTCAAATAATGTACTTTACAAATCTTTGCAATGAAAACTTCACTTACAAGCTTCATATAGTAAGCTAGATTTTTCATATTCATGCATTAGCTTCAAAATCAAGAGTTATAAATTAAGTAGATAACAATCATAGCAGAAGCAGATAGTTATCTCATCCTAAGAGTAGATACTAATCTCATTTGTCGTATTTGAGTATGTCATAAACTGCTTCACCAAAAAAATTTGTTTATCATCATCTTGTTTCGCCAAACATTTGAATTATCACTTGTGTTGTTTAAGTGAAAGATTATTCTTTTTCATTCATATGTTTCTCTCTATGGAAGTGCAAAATCAAGGTATGAAAAATTCCATCTTTGATGCTACTTTCCAAGAACTTAGACCAAGTATGTAGCAAAATAAATTTTTCTAGACTACAATTTCATTTGCAAAGCAAAACAAATTTAAAGCATGATTTCTTCCTATTTGTTTTTTTATACCAAAGAAATCTTTTTTATCATCAACAACATTATTTAAAAGTCAAGGCTAAATTTGTCACAAGATGATCAATTGATCATTTCCTGAAATTCAATGCCAACAAGTGAAATAAAAAGTAAAGAGTTCATGCACCATTAGCTTTTTGTTTTTATGTTGATTTCTGCCAAACTTTGCATATGAAGTGTAAGAACAATAGTGATATTTACAAATTACTAGTAGAAGTAACAAAAGAATTGACAATGATTAGCTTAGTCATGACTAAGTTTAACTACTTATTATTAAGTTTAACGGTCAAATTTATACTTCTCGGATCAAATATCATACTTTTAGAAGTTATAAATGAACACTATTATTTTGTATCATACCAAAGTTCAATTTTGAAGAGAGAAGATTTTGACCAAATGTTAGTTTTGATTGGTTTGATTAAATATTAGAAATTTCATTGGTTAAACTAACTACTAAGTTGATTACACATCAATGCCAAAGCCAATGCAAATTAATGCTTCCAAGATTTTGAAAATTTCTTCAAAAGAGCAAGATTGTCATGGGAAAGAAGATTTGTGTCCATATGTGAATAAAAAATTCCACAAAATGCACAATTATCACAAGAATATTTTGACTTCAAAGCTTTAAAAAAGTTTGCTACATCTCAAATGAATGTGTAAAGATGAAAAAGGCTGAATATTAATGATAAAATCATAGTAGAGACTGTGCGGTTGACAAGCAATTGCAGTCTACAAGTTTGTTTTTTTTTTAATCTTCTTTTTGCTTTTAGTGACTTTTTTGTTAAAATTTGAGTCGTATTGTGTTAAAATAAGCATTTTGAAAGTCCTCAGCCTCTGCATGTTTCATTGATAAAAAAAAAACATAGATTGTCATTGTTTTGATTGGATGAACCACAAGAGGTTAAAATCATTTCATTTTACTAAAATCTTGATTAATGACTAAATGTAAAACTTGTAATTGTATGTGTAAATTTATGATAGAATTAAAAAAAACCATTGACAAGAATAAACCTATTCAATGTTAAAGTTAGCTAGTTATAACTAAGAAAAAAAACCCCATGATATAAATTTATACTTGGACAAATAATTAGTTTACTTATAGAGTTTATGAGAAAAAAACTTCATATAAAACTTTTTGTTTGAATGAAATATATATTAAACTTCTTAATACAACACAAATTAAATTGATTTGATCTTTAAATAAGTCATCACTAACAACATGAAAATACTAAATTGATTTAATATTGCTATAGTATTCTTCTCTTCAAAAACACCAATGAATTTTAATCTTATCAAGATCTTTTCAATTATCATAATGATAATATCCATGTTTAATTAGAGCTTCAGCTAGCCTATATCAATTTTTTAATCTTTGCACTAAACTTAACATCCAATTTGTGAAGCGTTTTTACACAATAGCATTTGTGTCTTATTAATAATTCAATTATTCCATAATTTTCACAAAACATTGTGTTTTGAAATCATGCAAAAAAGATGGTATCAAATAAAACTTCAGCTCTCCCAGATTTCTTTGATTTTTTAATTTTTAACCTTGTTGGATCTGGACTGTGAAGTATATGAACTGTTTGACCATCTTCATACTTGTTCATTGATCTTCACTCGTCTCCAAGTCTTGAACAAAGATTGTTAGAACTTGAATGTGAATTATGTACTACAATCAGAGATAATGTCATCTTTGTCAAGCGATTAACAATAACAAAATTTGAATCAAAAGATTTGGACTTTGAAGTATCCACAATAAAAAGCATGGATACGGAAGATCATGACATTTTCCAAAATTGGAAGTAGCTGTAACAATCCATACAAAAAATGGCAAAAAATCTTTGATCATCAATAGTAGATCACATGTTATAATGTAATTTTAGACAAGATGAACTCATTTGTCTTCATCACATTATGAAAAAACCGCCCGAAGGACATAATCAAAAGCGTTGCCATTAAGCAAAAATAACTCTGAAAAGTAAGAATGTGTCAAGAAAAGCGTAGTGGTAAATGACACCTTCACGGTTTCAAATGATTGTTCTATTGTCACACTCCATTTAAGCTTGTATTTGCAAATGAGCTCCGATAATGAAGGAGAAATTTTGGAATAGTCTCAAATGAAGATTTAACAAACATTTGCAAAATCAAAAAAAATTACTAAGCATCTTGAATTGGGATTGATTTATTTCATTTGAAAAAATCGTCTTAATCTTCTTAACATCCTTGAATATACCTTCTTGACAGATCATGTAACGCAGAAATTCAACTTGATAATGGTGAAACATGCACTTTTCTAGCTTGGCATAAAGCCCATCATTGAAAATCAATCAAACATGTATCAATAGATCTTCTTGAAAAGATCAAAATGTCATCAAAAGAACAATCGACAAGTTTTTCCAAAAATTGTTAGATTATGTTGTTCATCAAATGCTGAAATATTGCAGATACATTTTATAAGACCTAAAAGCATGCTGTTGTCTTACAAATGTTCATACATTGTTCAAAGCCATGTCTTTCATTCGTCACATTCTTGATGCTCACTACATTTTAAGTTACTCAAATATCAATTTTTGTATGTATCTTTGCTTGACTCAAGGAGTCCAAAGATCAAAGTCAATGAATATGGATTCTTGATTGTGATTATGTCCAAGCCACAATTATCCACGCACATCCAAAGTGAAACATCTTTTTTTTTCACAAAAAGGATGGAAGCTACCGCCTGATGTAAATCTAACCAAGAAATTCCTAACACAACGGTGTTTAACAAAGATTGAATGACATTGAAAACTAAAGTGCTGTGATAATCTTCTATCACAACATCTAGTGGTTTTTTTTCTTGGATCACGTCATCAAATGCAAGGGGTTCATCATCAATACTTTTTACATGGACCAAATATTTATTGGCGATAAAGGTTATGTTATGTTTTTCCTCAAAATCTTTGTCAATGAAAGAGGTGGAAATTCTGGAGTCTAACAAGGCTTTGATTTTTACACTATAAAATTCAAACTTTAAAAAGTGAGATATTAAGAAACAAGGAAAAGGTTCAAAAGAAAGTATAGAAACTTTATACTTCTTATTGCTCGCTAGCCGCATGGTCCCTACTGTGGCTGGGCAAAGTTATTTTTTGATTCTTCAGCCTCTCTAATGTCCATACGGTCACGATATAATTTGAGCTGGTTTTGACGTTCACATTTGTTTACCGTGAGGCTAGCTACATACCTTCAAAGATAATAAGATATATAACCAAAGAAGTGAATAAGAAATCAAGATAACTTAAGAATCAACCTATCTCCACAATCTTCTATAACTGCATAATCTAAGGCGAGCTATTTGTTTCCAGTTCATTATAAGATTTGACCCTACAGCTGAATCCATTCTTGTTGGATAATTTTCTACACCTTGGAGAATATCTTTGTATCGCTTTTTAGAGAAAGTTAAGTCACGCTTGTTGCTCTCCGATACAATGGCAGTACACTTAGGAAGATAAAATTGACATATGCATTGATTATATTATTTCATCACAGAGTCCGCCATCCATGAGGTTTCTAATATTGAAGAGGGCCAAACTTCAAATTATGATTGAAAAATTGATTATCTTGAAGGTACGCATAAGTATACATATAATTATGTTGGAGAAATTTTTTTTGTGAAGAAGGACATTATTTGAGATCTTCTAATGATAATGACAACTGGCATTTCTAGAAGTATGCTAGTAGTCATATTGCCAAAAGAATTTTTATTGAATCATTTCTTAGAAAAATGCTTCACCAAAAAATTCCTATATCTACACTGCAATCTAGTAATTTAGAAATATGTAAGGAGTGTGATAAGAAAACAACATCAAACTGCTTTTTGCATTAAAACTTATATTTTCAAGGATATTTTTTGAACATATACATAGATGACATGTGGTATACATTGCTACTTCATCACCAAATGAGATACTATACAAAGTATTTTTCAGAGATGATAATTTGACATATGTGTTGATGATACTTCTATATACAAA